TCACTTGACAGTGTACGCCGCGGACCTCCCTGCTTACCTACCACAACCCTGGTGTTGACCCATAATCATGGAGTTATTTTATTCAGTTTTTGCGTACTAAAATATTTTGATGGTATCATAGTCATGAAAAGAGAATTATTTGCTCTACGAGATGGTTTATTTGATTGTTTTGTTCAAATTAATTTTTCAAAGTTTCAATCATTAAAAGTGTCAAACAGCATTTTTGACAACTTCTTCATTTGCGTTCAATTGACGAAGCAAAGCAACGGAAGCTTGAGGGATTTGTAATGTATTCGGCAAAAAAGTGATTCCTATCAGGATGGCTCGAAATTGTTTGAAGCAGGTTAAAGATGGCAATTTTGACCTCAAAAATACACTTCGGTCGGGACGACCTGTTGAGTTCGATGAGTGCGGTTGAAATAAACTCAAACACGAAGATAAACCATCTCTTCGTTGAGAAGAATTTCAATTTGAAAATTTGTTTAATTTTTTGCAAGAACATCCCAGGATTGATCGAATTTTTTATAAAATCGATGGTCTTACGGTCACGCGTCATGTTTGTTGAGTTGAACACTTGAAATCCTGTCATAGTGAATTGTGCCAGCTCTTTGATCCCATCGTAGTCCATCTATGGTAAAAGACATTTGTCAACGCATTTGTTAACTTATTGTGGAGTTATATTATAAAAAAAAGTACCTGAACTCCTCTATCCGTACCCCTCACTCCCCAATCGTATAACAGTTCATCTTCGCCAAATGCATAAGATCCTATCACTAATCGGCAGGCCTGTATAAACATGAGGGTATTCAATTATTTGGAGCCATTCTTCGGATCTTTTAGGTTGTCAAAGAACGTGCCGTTTCTTTTCAAAGTCTAGAATGTTCTAAGATAACTAAGGTTTTGGAAGGTCATTGTATGTCATTTATATTTAGCAGTCAAAAAAACAAACTTAGCTTATCCAACGATTTTGGTTTTATTGAATTGGAACACTTTAAGTATGCACTTCTAGACTTCTTCTTTCAATTGATGTG